GACCCCAAATTCACACAGATGAAAGATGACCTGAAGGGTAACATTTTCCAATAATATTATTGGTTAAGTCTGTGTGGTGTCTGAATAACAGCGCAAATAATTTTTTTTTCGTAAAAAAAATTCATTTTTTTGAAAATTTTTGCCTGTTTGACCTTGAAAAAAAGGTCAAAGGTCAAATCCAAGGGCATATTTGAAATCTACACATATGACTTTTGGAAAGCCGTCTGCAGAAATTTTTCCCGTAGGGTAGATAATTAGCATTTAATTTTGCCATTTTTGGACAAGGGTGCATTGCAATGAGTGCCACACCTAGACCCCAATACCGACAAAGCCGAAATTTTACGTGGAACGAGTTGAGATTATAGGTGACCTAAATCCAAGAGATGGGTATGGGGGCCCTTACCGTCTAGGAGGAGAAGCGGTAACGGTAACATGGCGGCGGAGCCGGCGGAACGGACCGGACGGGATTAAAACCATGTGTACCGCCAGCGCTAACGCTGGTGGTACAATAAAATGTTAAGAGTATTAACTACAGAACTACAATAACTCTATGTCAATATTTCTTCCCCCTTGTATGCTTTTGCCTAACTTATATCCTGAAAGTGTTATGTTATTTTATGATATTTTTTTTTTTTTTGAAAAGTGAATTCATCAAATCAACATGTGAGATACTTTATTTCTATAGCTATATTATCTATAATTTTCCATTCATTCCATGCAATATTTTATTTTCTTTGTGAATCCAAGGATACTGCCCATTCTACTCTCTTGCCAGCTGTCTTCTTTCTTCTTCCTCCTGAATACTCCTGTGCCAATCATCTGGACAGCTTCCTCGTCTGTGATGCCATCTTCCAGAATAAACTCCACCAGAGGCAGGACCTCTGTAATAGAAAATAAAAACAAAATATCATCTCAGATGCCATCTTCTGAGATAAACTTTACCAAAGGTAAGACTTCTTTAAGAGAACACAAGATACAAGGTTTAGGTGTTATAAGATTGCTCTATGAAAATGATTTTCTTTTAAACTCTGGTATTAAAATTTAATAACTTTATATGACAGCATTAGGCTGAAGAAGGCTTCAACTTGTGATCTACTCACCAAATGACACAAAGGAATGTACAAAAGTCTGTCTGCAGTTTATACAGTGGTTGCCATGGTTATTGAGCAGAGGGTTGGTTGTAGAGCAACGGTAACACATTGGCAGTAGCTCCTGAAACATGAAACAAATCCAAAATTTTAATTTGTTAAAACAGAAATATAAATTTACACACACTGTCACAGAATAAATTCATTAAATACACAAATGAAATATATGCTGCTTCAAGACATACAGTGAGTTCTGGGCCTTTACAAAGCTAAAAAAAATTGGTGAAAATTTCGAGATGTTTCTCTTTATCAACATTTTATCAAAGACCATTGAAACAAATTATGGTCTTTAAACTTATTTTTGAATTCCAAATTTTAAAGTATTTTTCTTAACAGAGATAGAAACTGGTGAACTCCACTTGTAACAATTAAAACACATCTAAAACTTGAAAATGGGTTTATAGATTCCAATATTTCGCTACAAAAAGGTATATAGTGCACTGATTGCTATAAACCATTTCTTACTCACCTCAGCATCATGGAAAGGTTTCGATCTGATTGTCACGCTGCCCAGGTCAATGGACTCCTGGAATCGACTAGGAATTCTCAGAGCTTGTAGTTTCTCAAAGGCATACCTGGCCACCTTGAAAGCCCCCAGAGACTTGCTCTGCTTGGCCAGAGCATAGAGGGCAGCACTGAGGTTGACAGTCAAGAAAAGATAACCTGAAAGTTTGACTTGAAAACTATGAAAGCACTTTTCTAGCTTAGATTTTCCAAGACACAAAAGATTTTTGCATAATGCTATCAATCCCTACATTTCAATATCTTTCAGCATAGCAGATTTTTCACAGTTTTGAGACAAAATCTTAGGTCAGTTCCCCAACTTAGTTGGCTAGGATTTCCACGAGAGTGCTAAAACACTGTTCCTGATAGGGTGAGATGTGTGCATGCAACCATGTAACATTGGTAACCAAGTTCTTAGTCAGGGAAGCCGACTAAAGTTATTTTGTGAAATGGGTGCCAGTACATTATTCTACTCATGCTAGTGGTAAAGGATACACCTTGGAGACCCCGTGCGGCATCCCATCTATCATGCAGTGTAGCAGGTAGCGGGACATGTTGAACAGAGCTTCAGGGAGATGAGACGTGAACGGCTCGTCCTGGAAATTACAATAACAATACAAGCACTTGGCAGTATGTATTTAATATGTAAACTCAATGTTACACATGAACATTTGTTTGGTTTTTCTTGAAGCACAGTAATGTTATTATATTAGGATATGAATTGTCACTGCAAAAGGAGGACAATCAATTCACTGCCTTCAGTTACTTACTGTGTATCTTTGAATGGAATGGTAGACATAGTACATGTCAGCTTTCCGCTGAAAGTCGTGAAATTTCTGAAGCATTTCCCCTCTCTTTTCTGGCTCTTCTGCAAAGAAATAAATAAAAATATATGTAAGGAACAATTAAATAACAACAATTATCCTTAAATATTTAGTGTGTTTATATTCATTAGGCAGGCTTACTTGAAAAAAAAATTACCTCGTTCTCAAATCAAATGGCATGTAAAGCTCATTCTGTAGACAAAATTATAATTACAATGCAGCGTCTCAAAACTGTGCATTAAAAAGTTTTCTTTCAATATGTCAAATATCACAACACACAAAACAGCTGCACATGAACACATACACGCACACACACAGAGTTTTAAATGAAATAACATATTTACCTAAATATGAATAAATCAAAAACTTTGAGTAAAAGTAAACTTTGAGGCATAAAATAGCAAAAAAACTGCTGACAATAATATCAAGTACATGCAGTTCCATAGCATCATGTATATAAACTAAGTAAACATATAACTGGAGACCAGAATTAGAGCAAGTCTTATCAGGCAGACAAATATATAGGAAAGTTACTCTGATGGGAACAATTTCACCTACCCCCAGCTATATCCAGACACTGCATTGACAGCTTCCAGAAGTAGTACCCAGCATCATTGAACCTGTTCTCACACACAGCATTGTGGGTAAGCTGCTCCAACACTCTGACTGCCTCCCCCTGCATGCCTGCCTTGTGGAATGCTGTGAGAATAAAGCATATGCATTAAAAAAATTTTGGCACATTTTGCCTCAAAAACCAATTAAACCTAAAGACACTATAAATCTGCCTTGAGCTCAACTGTTCCGACAAGTTATGTCAAGACAAGCCACACTATAAGATGAAATGTCTATGAGATGCATACCTTGCTGTGCTTCCTCAAACCTATCGTTCTCTGCCAGCCACTGTGCATATGGAATGTACACATCATTTCTGAACTCTGGATGCTTCTCCACCAGTGCAAATGCCTGGAAAAATTAACAAAGTAAATGCAGACAGACAAGATTTTGCAAAGTAATAGTTCATGTTTACATCCAAAGCACATTTTTAAAATGAATGAGAGAAAAAATTCATAGCTAAATAAACATGCCTAAAGAACCCAAAGGAAACACATTTCAATGTTTATTTACAAGTACATAGTCATAAAAAAGTGTAAGACACATGTGGAGTCATCAACATTCAAGAAATTAAATCCACACCCACGCACATGCCCACACACGCAACCCCATATAAGCACACGTACCTCATCCCAGTGTCTAGCCTCCACGTGTAGCTCCATCAGGGCCTTGGAGTCTCCCATCTTGTGGTAACACTCCGCAGCGTAGGCATACTGCTCCATCTTCTTCAGATAGTCAGCACAAAGGAGCAGAGCCTGGCGGTCAGCCTTGTCCAGCTTCCTGGCTACGTCTATCATCCTGTGAAATGGGAACATGAAATTGTCAATAACATATTGGCCTTGATCATGCATTATTTAAACAACTGCTGGCTCTGAATGTGAATTTTCAATAAACAGTTGGTTTTGCAAGTGCAGCTGAAGTATGTTTTTTTGGTCAAAAAATAATTAATTCATCTATGGCACATTTCATAAAACAATATTTTTCAAAAAAAAAAAAATAAATGAAATTTCAAAAGATTACGAAAACTTAAAAAGACTTAGCTTAAGAAATAAATCAAAACACAATACACACATGTCTGCCCATCCGTTGTCTCCAATGATATCGATGGCTTTGAGGTACTCGCCAGCAGAGATGTACATCTCGGCAGCAGCCTTGGGTTCGTTGATGTTCTTGGCCCAATCCGCCTGCTTCGTGATCAACATCTTCCTGTCTGCAGGGTCTCCCGAGCCTACAAACTCCTGTGAGAGGGGAAATAAAAGGATACATTATACAAAAATGAGCAAATAAATAATCAAACAAGTGAGTAAATAAACAAATTAAATGCTCCTGTACCATAAAGCTACTATAAGATAATAAAGAGGTGGCATTATAAATGAGCCAACAACTTCTACAAAGAAAAGACACTGCATTACATAAAAATAAGCTTATACATAAAAATGTACACAGGTCAAGTAGTGTTAATGGAAAATATGTACACATTTCACAAATAGATCCCACTTAAAACTGTTTCATCACACTGGTTGAAGAGAGGGATTCTTATTTGCTCACTTAGAGACAATCTTTACATAAAAACCATGTGATTACCTTGGCATACTCAAACATCCTCATATCAGTATACATGTTCATGGCCTTGCCCTCCTGCCCTGCTCTCTTATACAGTTTGGCGGCCTCTCCAAATTTGCCTTGGTAAGCGTAGAAGTCAGCAAGGAACAGGTGGTTGTCAGTCTCCCCACGCCGGCGCCTCTCCTGAAACGAATGTATCTCGTTTGTGGTTTAATAAGATTCCACCCATTATTCCATGCATCAATTCAAAATTCAATTTTATATTGATTCTGTTCACTGAACCAGACAATATTTATCTCTTTGCTGTTGTCTGCAGATATGTATTTAAAAATTAGCATAACACAAAATCTTTATAAATGCTTACTAAATATGAGCATGTTTGTATCATGGCTTTGAATGGTGCTATTGTCATGTCATTTCAATTCAATAATACAATAAAATGTGAAACAACCAAATTTTTGTTCATAAATAAATAAATGATCAAACAAAACAAACAAACAATCAAATAAATAAATCAACCCCAGACTAACCTCAATGCTGTGAAGCAGCTCTAGATATCTCAACTCCCTGACTCGGATGAAGGCTTTCTTGGCTGTATCAAAATCCAACCCCTCCATTGCCTCGTGGGCCAGAGCCGCCCAGTCCTGGTCTGTGACACCCAGGCAGGCCACATCGTACGCCTGCCTGAAATATGGTAAGAAATATCCCTCTTAAAAAGATACTTATACCTGAAGTGCATCAGAAATGCCCCTTTTTAAAAAAGCCATTAATTAATTGCCAAAACATGCTTCGTATTGATTTCTGTGACACCAAGGCATGCAACACCGTATACACCTGCCAGTAATATGAATAAAAGTCCCCATTCCAAAGATCCTTTTTGAAATTCAACAATCAGCAAGATGTACATGACGTCCACTCACACACATGTATATCTCGTAAAATCTCTCATTGACTCATGATGTGTACGTATCACACATTCTTACTTGAAGAGTTTCTTCTCCAGATATTGGTACATGGGTGCTGACTGGGGTACCTCCACTGATGACATGGCATACACGTGGAGGCAGAAGATTTTGGACCCACTGAAACCCACGACAAAACCCTGAAATAGCAAGGTCAAGGTCAGGTCAAATTAAGGTCAATTTCAAGGTCAGCAGATGACATGACAGAGTGTCTGCATGAGAACAAGAAATGTAATGTGGATAGCTGTCTTAATACTAAGAATTTTGACTCATAATTACTTTATATAAATAATATATATCAACATTTGCATAAGAATATAAATTTGGCAGAGAACATATTTTTGTAGTTAAAAATTTTATACTTCTTGAAAAAAGTTACAAGATGTTAAATTTGTGTCCCCAAAAATGCAGGTTGATTTGCATTCCATTCCATGTAGGGCACATGACATTGCTGGTGTTCATGTTTTTAAAAATAAATGCAATGCATAAAAATGTTGGACAAAAAGAAGGATAATCACATGAACTATCACTTGAACTCATGAAATATATATATATATATATATATATATATATATATATATATATATATATATATATATATATATATATATATATATATATATATATAGCAACATCGTTACAATATAATGAAAGTGATCCATGAACCAACCAGCCTGCCATCTAGCACTGCAAGCAATCCGTACCAGACAATAAGTAAACTAAATATTTACTGTAACTTATTCACCAGTATATAATATACGAGCACATAAACAGAAACACATTACGTGACCAAGCTAGTGAATTCTCCGTGTTCTTCTTGAAAAAAAAAAATCCATCTTAGTCATATACAAAACTCAACAAAACAGTTCTTAATGTCAACTCGTGCTTGCCAGCGGTAGGTTGACATAAGTACATAAATTCCAAAGCACCAATTCCCCAATCTTTTCCCACAGCTGTTGATATCACCAAGCAGATGCATTCTGTGAGCATAAGCCACCCTGTGATCCATTCTTTGGTGAAATAATCAAATCTGGTTACCCAAGACATTATCTGATTTGTATTCTATGTCAAACATGCCTATCAATATGCGAGAGACTGAAGCAGTGAGAACAATAAAATCACAAGAGTCCCTTCATAAACATTGTATTAAATAGAACTAGAGTTAAAATACTCCCTGCCACTGGAAATTTTAAAATAAGTTGATGTTTTTTTAAAGACTTGATAAGTGAGTGTGGGTGTTAAGCTGTGCATAGCCTGTTTAAGTTACCCATGTGTGTAGGTCGTTCATAAAAGGTCTATATTAAACTGGGATTGGTCCAACTTTCATTATTGAACAACCACATAACAAAGATCACGTAAGATCTCATACACCTAAAACCCCAGAAAATCATTATTATAATGGTCAGATTAACTAACAACTTTCCAGGGATTCAGATGTCTGAGATTTACTGGGGATCTCTGGTATATCAAGCTGGTGGTCTGATGACGTGAGTATACCCAATCTCCAGTCTTAAGCAGTCCTTGTGTGAACTGACCACTTAACTTACCAGAGGGAACTGCAGGAAGAGAAAGGTTATGAAGTCAGTACATGCACACACTTAAAGAACTTATGGCACGTTCAGACAGAGTAAGGCTAGGATCGATTTGGATCTAAACAGCATCACCAGACATCCGCATATATTTTTTTCTAGTTAGTAAGGCATTTTATACCCAGGGGAGATGGAGATGATGGTGCCTCCCACCCCCCCTCCCCCCAATCACAAAATTAATGTATCAATTAATTAAAAAAAATATAATAGAACCTGCTAATAAAGTCACTAAGCAGTAAATTGCTTGGCTGTAAACTCTGGGAGTTACTGTCAATTGGTGATATTATCTAGATTAAAACCAGTCCTTACATCTGTGTCTGAAAGCAGCTTTAGGAATAAAGAATGTTATCATTACTTGAATAAAAAAAGTTAGGTGGCTTATTAGTGCATACTAGATAAGTCATCTATATTAACAAAAGCAGTCAAGTTAAAAGTTAAGAGGAGAAAGGTTTCAAGTACAATTTGTAATAACACTAACAACTGGGTACTATGAGGGAACACAATGTCCTGTATACAAATGTGCACTTTTACCTCCAGATGTGTCAGAATCATACAGATTGGTCCTACATCTATCATCATTTCAGCTCCCCCTACACATAACTCCCCCCCCCCCCCAAAAAAAACCCCGGCATTACCTGTAGTTTCTGCTGATGTATGGGGAAGTTGCTGGCCTTGATGTTCAGCAGGCCGGAGCCACTGAAACATAGCATGTCTTCGTTCTGCGTGTTCCAGGCAACACTGTTGGCATTGGGCTCCTGGAATTTGGGAAATGAACGGGTGACAGTCATGAATCTTTTCGTTTTCAGTGTTGTAATTTGTAACTATGTTTAATGGCGTATAGAAGAGATGAGAAATATCAACACATGTATAACAAAAAAATAAAAATGAATAAAATAAAGGCTGGGTAAAAAGCGAACACAAACAAGCACACACAAGCAAAATTATAACCCCTTTACACATACACACTACAATACATACCTGAAACAGCAGTTCCTTGGTGTTGACATCGTACACCAGACAGGTGCTGTGTTCGTCCACCACAGCCAGCTTGGTGCGGCTCGCACTCATGTCCAGACAGCGCACAGAGGTGGCCTGCTTCAGCAGAACTATGGGGAATGGATTGTCCACAAATATCTTCATAATCTGGGGGGTACAAGGAAAATTGGGTGTATTGTTTGTTATGGTATTTATCAAAATGTTATTTTTTTCCCCATAATCAGGAATAATATGAAAAATCCCATTTTTATTATTATCATTATCAACTTTATTATTATTTGCTGAAAAAGCTTTGTTGTAAACAAATACAATACTGCAGAAGTGATCAAATACATAAATTTAAAATTTCAAGGGCAGTCAGGACTTGACTTCTGATTTCAAAATACATTAGCAAGCATTTGCTAGTGCTTAAGATAATTGTAAATTCAGAATTAGATTTTTAAAAAATCATGTATAAGTTTAATATGGGTTACCTGTCCATTCTTCAGTCCTACTAGTAAGCCCTCTCTACCAGGTGGCCCCCCTATCACCTTGATGTAACGAATTAGCGACTCCATGATCCACTCCCGCTCCTTTATTCCTTTGAAGTTCAAGCACTGGAGTCTTTTCTCCTGAAATATCAAACAGCATGAATTTTTAGGTGGAGAGTGCAGATGCTTTCTTGGCTCAATCAAAATTTGCACTTTATCAATGATAAACTTACATTTTCCTTAGCCAAATTAGAGCATGTTATTGTTTAGCATTTTGCTAAATTTCACTAAGCAAGAACGAACCAAGGGTGGTTTATATCCAAAGAATATATATCTAACATCAGATACCTCCAAACCCCCTGAATTTCAGTAGCTATGGGAAACTCACCTCAACAACTACCTTCTACCGTTTCAAGCAACCTCTGAAACTCAGGGCGTTTCCCTGCTTACCTGACACAGAATGATGTGCTGAGAGCAGACCACCAGGAGATTGCAGTCAAACTTCTTGTTGATTTTCTCCTTTATCCTGTAGTGCATGTCAGCAGAGTCATCCGAGTACAGCTCATAGACCACGATCTTGTCTGGGAGTTGCACCTAAAAGAATGGAACATTGCATGATATTTTGTCAGGATGCTGTCACTGCTGAACGTATTGTTATTCATCAAATGCCTGGTATTCGTAAGCAAATTATCAATATTATTAGTATAAGTATTACTATTATTCAACCTAAGTCCACTTACTGCAAGTCTATGTCTGTAGATGGCTATTTTCTTCACCAAGTCTCTACACTTGATGCGAACTGCAACAGAAAACAGCAAAATGTTACAAAAGTAAGTCCATTATAAAATTATGATTCAGTAACAAATTACTCATCTAAAATCCTGATTAAGGCTTCGTTCACATGCAATGTCTATTTTCTAATTTCTATTTTCTATTTGCGCTATCTTATGATCACGGTCTGTGCCCTGAATATCCCGCCGCGTAATTACTGGCAGCGCGAGCCAGTTACTTATAGTAACTTATAGTAACTGGCTCGCGCTGCCAGTAATTACGCCGCAGGATATTCAGGCCACAGACCGTGATCATAAGACATACCGCAAATAGAAAATAGAATTTAGAAAATAGACATTGCATGTGAACGAAGCCTTAAAGTATGTCCAATTAGATGTTTTCTTTTAACCTAGTTTTATGTGGTATTACATGATACTCATTAAGTCTCAAGACTAGACAGCTTGGTGAAAATACTCATTCCAACAAAACATAGCACAAACACTTTATACATAAAGTAAAACTTTTAAGTTATATAACAAAATAAAATCTGTTAAATATATGTTATCCAATCTCAAAACATATTACAATGGTATTATGAACAATTAACAAAAAGAATGTCTTAAAACAAGAACAAAAATAGGAATAAATAAATAAATTAATTAATGAATAGTTTTTCATTACGGTAAAACTGGGTTAATTCAGCATATTTCAAACATTTTTAGAAATGTTCAACATAATATAATTGTTCAACAGTAAAACTGCAAATTTCAATGTAATATTGACTTATATACTAATGATTTACTTTTGGAATCTGGATCTAGTGTTCTGGAATCTTTGAAAATAAAAGAAAATAGGACAGGTCACTTAACATAGGTTTGTAAGTTGATAGCTAACTTTACCTAGGTTTGTAAAAGGCATAACCTACTGTCATTTCAAAACACACACACACACACACACACACACACACACACACTGTTTAAACTTGCCAAATGTGTACTCAAATACTTTCTTATAATTCACCTATAAATACAGAAGAAGAGGCTCTAATACAAGAGAGAATCTGGCAGTGTTACTTCCACCTACCTTTCTGGTCTGTGATAAGATGCTGTATGATGACATCAGTCATGTTGTCCCTGTAAGCATACCTGTCTTTGTACAGTCCATGGACGGTGCTGAAGATTAGCTGGTAGTACGCTATCGTACCATCCTGACACCCTATGGCCTGAAACAGATCACCAACAATTATTTCCGATCTGATTCAAAATGAGTTTGAATTCAGGGGTGTGTGGGAACCCATGGATTTGTTCATGAATACCTGAAGAATATGTGCATTACAATGTTGGAAGCATTCAGATTCAACCGCATGCCTGTGATCATGAGCTCAATCAGTGTAGTTACAGTAGTTATACTACACTGGTGGCAGTGGAATGGAACCCAAACTACCAATGAGTCAGACCTTGCATAAAACATGACGGTATCAGTATATATAGCCATTTTGATGGGATAAGTGCATAAATTCAACAACAACTTTGTACATAAATTCAGGAACATATAAACATTAAATTTCTCCTTACCACATAATTGGAGTCTGGTCGCACCCTACAACACCAGACCCAGGAGTTCTGCTCTCCAATGGTGCCCAGTTTGACCCCTTCCTTAGTGTGAAGGGACACCTGTTTGTTGGAGCCCCCAATCACCACGTACTCCCCTTTAGAGAACCAGCTGACGCAGCAGGGGTCGTACTCCAGGTGGCGATCCTTACCAATCTGATATCAAAGGGAACCACAATTACTTTACTATGAAAAAAATACTTCTAGAGTCATCTTTCATTTAAGAACCCACAAGGAAGTTTCACTACAGAACTCTGAAGTATGAGGTGTCAAGTTTCAAATACTGATTAAAATTTCAGGATAGAAAGCTATTCAGGAAGAATAGAATTTTTTTCAATTAACCAATGAAACCAGGTTTCCTTATATTTTTAAAAGTTAGAATTTGTATTGTATTTTTCTTGAGGTGTTCCCTTTTGTAGTGCTTGATATAGTTAGCAAATACTGTTTTCTCAACTCCTCTTACAGCTCAGCATATACAACAACATACAATGTACTAATATACAAACAGATCAAATACACAGCATTGCGTCATTTTAACTTTAAGACCCAGGACTTCCTTGAAATTTGTTGTAATTCACAATTAGCCCACTAGATCATTTTAACCTCATCTGCAAGATGGTATTAGATGAACCATGTAATCATATATATCCAAATATCACCTCACCTGTTTTCCAGAGAGTTGATAGAATGAAAGTTGACCGCCCCAATCTGCTACAGTCAGGATGTCAAATGCCTCATCTCTGAAAAAAAAAAAAAAAAAAAAAAAAACATCAGTCATACAAATAAAAGATGTAAACCTTTTTTTAATTGTTTTTAACATAGGTACTTTTCTGCCTTTGTGCAATTATTTTAAATGACATTTTATTCTGTTGAAATGTTATGTAATTAGCAAATACTTTTTAAAATTTTTTCTTATTCTATGGTTCAAAATTTGTAAAATCATGCACTTGGCCTGGATTATTTTCTATAATAAATAAATAAATAAAATGCACAACATTTCATGCCCACTGACAGATTCATAATTTTTATCGGGAGGGCACTGTGTGTGTGTGTGTGTGTGTGTGTGTGTGTGTGTGTGTGTGTATGTGTGTGTGTGGGGGGGGGGGAGGGGGGCTGCCTTGTTTTGAGAAAATTTTCACATTTTCCAAAATCTTTGGGGAAGGGATCACATATCTTTTACCTACCTGAATCTGCCAGTGGTCATGATGATATCATATATGATTATAACAATATCAAGTCAGTCATCTAACAGAAATATATAACAATAACAAAAAAAATAGTCAAATGAACTAATAAATCAGTCAATAAATACATGAAAAGTAACACTGTCATTTTATTTCACTTCTCAGCAAGAAGTAGAGTACCCTCACCAATTAACCAAAGAATCAAAGTTTCTTCAAATAGACTTCACGCTATTTCTGAATCATCAAAATCAAAATAAGAAGAAATACTTAAAATATAAATACACTACAATCAGAACTTTACATAATGGGTTGTATGTTAAAAGTTGTTCAGGATTTTAGAAATTAAGACAAAAGTCATGCAAAAAAAACAAAACAAAAAAAAACACAGCATTACCTCTGATAAATGTCACTAGTAAAAAAGAATAAAGATGTGTGGTAACAAAGCAAGCATTGTGTTCATAAAACTGCTTCCAAATCGTGTAAATCAAAACAACTGAAGTCCAGTGGCATCAAAAGTGAAGACGTCAATGCAGTAGACTAACATAATACAATCAATTTGTTTTGTTTTATCAAAACTTTTTAACTTTAATTTTACTTTAATTAGTGGCTGGATAATGGCAGTCTATTAGCAGTTTTCAAGAATAATATCACAAACATACCTAGAAAAAATCCCTTTTTTTCTTTTTTGTAGTTAAAATTATTACACATCCAGCTGAGAGACAAATGTTCTCAAATTCATGACATCAGTCTAGAGACAGTTGAAAAAATATTGGGCAGACATCTTTTTTCTTTTGCTGACAGAACATGGTGGGGAAATTTTCACTTACACGGTGCATAAGCAATGTGAGTGGCATGAAAAATGGTGACTTATAATAATATCTGAATGAGCCCAGACTAACAGGTGACAATTACATGGAAGTGGACAAGCCCAGATGTCTGAGCTGACTTATCACAAGCCCCGCCAGTCAATAAATAACCTAATTTGAAGATAAATATCTGTCCTAACTGTAATCTCTCGTCTGTCTGGAAAAAATGACCTTTTCCTGACCTAATATTTCATAAATCTCCCTCATTTATGACCATAAGTGATCGTTCAAACCAAATTACACGAGACATTATCACTGGAAATGGCTGGCTTTCCCTTTTGTGTCCATGGCATTTGGATTGTCTTCAATCAGGGTAACATTTTTATATTACCTTTGATTCTGTTTCAAATGCACTATTGCTCTCTAAGGATCACAACATTTCCAACCCTGTTCAAATGATGCATTTTCATCAAGTTTCCATCTTGTTAATTACAAGAGTAAGGACTTGTTCTAGCAGATATTTGCCACATTTATGGTAAAATGACATTCATTAAATAAAAAAAAAAAAAAATCATTTAAGTCATTTTTTAAACTAAAATCAATCACTGTTGTGATTAAAATTTAACTTCAGCTCCAATTTTTCAGTTACTTTAGTTACTAAAGCAATGCTACTGCTTGCATAAGTCAAGACTATCATATACTGCATATATATATATATATATATATATGAAAATTATCTGAGACGGCCCAAAACAAGGCAATACTGGTGCAATACATAAAACTACAGCTCTTTGTGAAAGAGGCCTCCATTCATGATACTCTACAGATGATTCCCATTAATGTATTTTTTTATGACCTACTTGGAAGGGTTCCACTCAAGAGACCAAACAGGGGACATGGCGGCACCTGGACGCTCTATCTTCACCTTGTCTTCTCCAGTCTGAAATATAATATATAATAACTGTCTGAAGATATTTAAAAAATTGCTTTTTTCTATTTCTCTGAACCAATTGTTCAATAAATTCTTTCTTCTTCCATATAAAACGTGAAACACTTACAATGACAGTAACATTTAATTTTTTCGTGGTGGAAAAGTTATGCAGTCACTGAAAGACTGTCATCTTAAATCTTGCAAGCTTTTCAATTTGGGCCATCCCCCCCCCCCCCCCCCAAACCCCTCTCTCTCTCTCTCTCACCTTATTTCTAATACTTATAACTCCGTTGTACATCCCAATGGCAAAGTACTGTCCATCATTGGTCCAGCCACAGCAGGTGATCCGACTGCCCACCTTGTGTTTGGACACAGACTTCTGCTCTGGTGACCAGAGCCCTGGGGAATACCAAGTGAAAGAATGGAACAGAATTCTTTATTTCTACCAAGTGAAAGAATAGCACAGAATTCTTTATTTCTACCAAGTGAAAGAGTTATGTATAATCAGCCCCAGAATTTGAACTCGAAATCATTACACTATGATAAATGGTAAAAACTGATTTTAACTACATTTCATCCAAACAGAAGTGTCGTTTCTGATTCATAAACATTCATGAGACAAACTGAAATAGAAAAGTCTATAAATTTTTTAAAGATTCAGGAAAGTTTGGGTTAAAATTTTACCATGAAAATATTAATTCAATCAATTAAGTGCAGTTTATGGAAAATTCAGATTAGAAACTGACACAGAAATTCTGATTTTAACGAATAAATTACGCAATGCTTTCAAAAAAGCTCAGATTAAGGAAGGACATAAAAAAGTTCCATTTTGTTGAAGTGTAAAGAAATTCTCACCAAAGTCTGTTTGTGCGCAGCTGGCTAACTGGTGTGTCAGGGGATTGTAGGCCAAACACTGGATAGCATCATTGTGTCTAGAGGAAAATAAATAAAATAAATAAAATTTTTTAAAGTTTATGTAATGTTATTTAAGGAAATGGTTTCATTAACTGTGTAAATAGTTATATTGAAAAATATTTTGAAAATTAGATAAGTCATCTATTAGATGACTAATCTTTTGCATATCTTGTTGAAAGTTTTGACTAAATTTCATCTGTGTTGGTCACAAATGAAGCTATTGGCAAACTCTACTTTCTCTCGTCTTGCATGAGAAAGTTGAAATACTATATTATAATCAAATTTAAGATGAAACCTTCGACAACATAAAAAGTATGAATCTAATTTAAATGAATATTCTTCAATATAATTTAATCTAATCTAAACTATCCCACGATCCTCCAGGGTCACAGGGGCGCAGCTGTGTCAGACAGTGATCCGTCTGACCACACATCTGATGGTCATTCACGAGGGCTTGGGGCATGTCAAAGGTCTCCTCTGTCCAGCCATTGGTGCTGCATGCCCATTTTCATTAATATTTATCTTTAAAAAATGCCAAAGCACTTGATGCAGGCTTAAAGTAATGGACACAAATTCCAACTGTGAGCTAATGGTGCATGGGTGAAAGTTGTAAAAACTGAAAATCCTGAAAATGTTTATTGCAATTTCTCATTGCATTTACACCACGAGAAAAAAATTATCATGGCATTTACATCACGAAAAAAAAAAAAAAAAGATCAAAAATGAAGACTGAAAATCCTGAAATCAGACACAATCCTGAAAATTTTCACCCATTGATGGTGAAAGAAAGAATAATGAAAAGGGCTTTGGCGTTGAATTTCTGAGCTGGGAGTATACAAAGGTATTGTTTTTCGTTTGAACAACCATCAAAACTAAAAATCACAAAAGAAGAAAAGTCTGTTTAGATAAAAGTTCAGTTGAGATGAGTAATTATAATTACAGCTCCCTCTACAAAAACATTGTTGACACACGGTCACCATACATCATTCATAAATTATAAAGAAATATAAACAACAATGCTGCCATTACAGAATGCATGTTATGCAAGAAAATGTTCTTCCATATTAAATTTCAAAAGTGACCCATTACATAAGCATGGTGCTTTTCCCCATCTATAACCTTTTTGCACCTTATATATCCAAGAGAAAGTCCTTTATGGGCAACAGACTAAAGCAAATCTGGGGGCCCTACATGCCTCCCCTGGAAATCAGAGCCAAAAACTTTAAAGCTTTCAGCAGAAACAAAAAAATGCAGTGGCCTTAAGCAGAAATGGTGACCAGTAAGATCTTACTGGCCCTGATAAAATTCTACTAGCATACAGCATGGGGGCAGCTATTGCAGTACATGCTGCCCAGACCCAGGATAATCAGTTAGGCCTTGATAACACTTGTCCCCATGTACTACATGATATAATCACGAAAAAAGCACGTGAGGATATGAACCCTTGCATAAGACAGCCAAAGTCCTGAAAACTGTTCCAACCTGACGTCATGCATTGGCACAAAATTATTGTTGGAAGACGATACTAGGGGTTATAACCTGAAATATGTGCAAGTCCCCAGCTGCCCAATGAACACAAAGCCACAAGCTACTGTCACGACGCAACCACACCATGATTTGTACACAGTACAACAGGGCTGGAAACAAATCCCATTGCCATATAATACACTGAATTATATATTTATATCTCACTATATCTGCAGAAAATATACCATTATTAATAACATTCAATTAAAAAAATTGTTTCTGATATAAAAGAAGTAAAATGAGAAAAACTAGAGGCATTTTAACCTTAAAGCAACTGTTGTAACAAACAAACCATTCAATACTTCAAACTCAGTAAGAGCTGGTCACAACAACAACCTTCATCTTCCTAACACTCACTGGTATTTTAGAATCCCTTCTAACTTATTAGTCCAGATGATGACGCTCTTGTCTGCTGAGCCCGATGCAAATCTCTTCCCATCCTTGGCATAAGCCACACAGTAGACTGTGTCTTTGTGGCCTTTCAGGGGTTGAATGAGGGTGCCATCGTTGGTGTCGTACACAAGGACACGATTGCCAGCTGCTACGATGATCTGACTCCCATCAGGTTTGAAGCAAAGGTCCCATATACTGAAAATAGTTTTATTATAACATATGTTATTATATTATTCAGTTAATAATAATAATAGCCTCAAAATGCTTGACTGAGTTTGATCTTTCAGTTAAAAAAAAAATTATGTTAAAGATGTTTTCGTGGTTTTCATGGAAACATAGGAGGCTTTGCTGTAAAAAAATATTTAGGGTTATTTTCAAACAGGAAAACAAATTGGAACAAATTGTATATAGGTAAATAACGAAACAACATTGATTCCTGCCAGGAAATAAGCTTAAGTGCAGGATCCTGTACAGTGGAAGTTGCTTAGCCTACATGATTGTTAGACCTTTCCTCCTTTTCTTTCCAACATAGTCTTATAATCACCAGCTTTTCTGAGGTCTCAGTAAACACCGAAATGGCACCTTAATATTACTTTTATCATAAAAAAATAACTCACTTTCTGGATTTTGCACTCCAAATTACAATTGTCTTGAGCTCAACACAATATTTGTCTGCTGATCTGTATAGAAATATTTTTGCAGCTTTCTTTTCTTTATTTACATATTAAATTAGAGGCTGCAAAAATGTTTCTCCTTTGCAGATAAACATCTATTGATTTCAAGAGTTAATATGATTTGGGGTGCGGAATCCAAATGGCAAGTTATTTTGATGTTCAAAGCAACATTAGGGTGTTACTTTGTGTCAATTTGGCATTTACTGAGACTCACTTTGTTGTCTTCTACTCAATGCCAGAAAGAGGCGTGTTAATCTATATATGTGATTGCACTCAGCAAGAGTCCCCAGAGTTAATATGAACTACCTGGTACAATAGTTTCATTGTCAACCAACCCTTGGACTGTAAAAATCTGTGCAAATGCAGGAAACTTCGAGCTAGGTACAAGTACTGATGAATGAACTTCTTTAAAAAGTTCATTTGCAAAATTATACTTCTCTCCGAGGTGTTTATAAAGTTAAAATTCTCGACAAAGGTACCATGGTAGCAAATATGTCTAGCATCTTTGTAGTTTGCTAGACAGCAGAGAACGGAAACTGGAGCAAACCAAAACCCCGACTAAAACTAGTAAAAGTGAGGAGTATAGTAAGTTGAACGACACTGTCAACAGTGACAAGCATTCGTTCAGAAAAAAAGTTAACGTGCAGTTTTAAAGCACGAGATCACTCTTGAATTTGTAATCACCATTGTTCTACTTTATCCCTGTCATGAACCTTGTCCACCCAAGTTGGAACAGCTCGCATTTTGAAATGTTTACAACCGGTTGGCTTCTCTACATTGGAATCTGGAGCGGATGGTATCTTCACTTGGATACGAGATTTGACGAGATGTGGATAAAAAATTTAAAGACCAAGTATAATTTTACAGCGATTCCTACTACTTTATTCGTCTTACTGGATTGCATCATGAGTCATACATAATTGATAAAATTTAAATAAATGATAAAATGATAATATGTTTACAGCAGAAGAAGAACGACCTTGACCAACTTAATAAAAGCCAATGTGTAAACTGAAGCATGTAGCTTAATCAAAGACTTTTTACTGGAAATAGTCGGGAATGAGGTATAATCTTATTTTTCTTTGTAATAATTATGCGTCTATATCAATATTCTATGTAATGTACGATTCCCATTGTTGTAAAGCTGTTAAGAGGTTGTATAAGTGATTGTTTCGCTCGAGTCTTACTGTTAGTCATGTTTGCGTCATTGCCTATTGTGTTACGATGCAGTAAAAGTCCCGCGTAATCTGTGCATTTCATGTCGATAAAAATGGAAATGAAACGAGGAAATGAATAAACCCAGGGTCTGTTGTATTTTCTACAAATGCACGTTCATCACGTTCTATTTTAATTGAACTTCAGCACCCTTTTGTTTTAAAAAAAAAGATCACTTTCTGTTTTATTTGTTTTAGGACCCTTTTGTCAATCTAAGAAGCAATTTATGATAGCTGATTGAATTCTACCGGATGTTAGGTGAGTGAACATAATTAAAATTTTATTTTGTTTACCTGTGTCAGTACGAACTCTCACCTGCTGTTATTTGTGATTTGACATGCAATGTAAATCGTCCTTTTGTCCTGACTTTTACTGTATTATATATGTAGTAAATATTTAAACATTTGTGTAGATCTTATGCCCTAAACTTAATGTCTGACATGCTTGTTTAGTTTCAAACTGACCAGTGATGGCCACACCAATCAAGATGCTCATTTGCATTTTTAGTACTGTACTCCACATTTCATGTTTCCATGTCAAAGCGTGTGATCTAAAAGCCTGCAAAGCCTAATCACAACTTATATGAAGATTTGTCATTATAAATGTTGGGGTAGCGCTTACACTCCCCAATTTAGCCAAATGCTAAAACTGACTTAAATTGGCTAAAGAAAAAGGGCTTGATTTGACATGTTTTAGCCAAATTATAACCATTTTGATAACAAATTGACAAAAATACGGTGATTTGGCTAAGTGAAAAAAATTGCTAGTGCTACCCCAGCTAAACTTAATATCTGACGTGCACGTTTATTTTCAAACTTCTTTCAAACTGACCAGTGATGGCCACACCAATCATGATGCTCATTTTAATAATAATAATAAAAAAAAATGATGCTCATTTGCATTTTTGGTACTATACTCCACATTCCATGTTTCCATATCAAAGCTTATCACCACTTATATGAAGCTGTGTCACTATAAATGTATGAAAATAAGTGTTTTTGAAACCATTCCAATCCACCCTAAAAACAACTGCCTCACATACAGCTTTGTGGAGGCCTGTTGATCTGACAAAACTGATTGCATTCAGCAAGAGTCCCCGTGGAATTGGATCAATTTACGCAGACCAATAGTTACAGTTGGAATGATTCCCATATACTACATAGATCCCATCAATGGAAAAAGGTATATTTACTTCAAGTAGTCTGCAATGTTATAGCCACTGCTCCGTAGCCTGTGGCGAGTAGAATTTTGTTTAGACCTGTTGATTTTTGAGTATGTGAGAATTTAGTCAGGCTTGTAGCCAAAAAATTCAAGAGGATTTTTTACCATGAAACCTACATGTACCTAGATGAAATTTTACCCACAGGGGACCTTTTCCCAGCAAAAAGGGGCGGTTCTTTCCAACCCCCCGAACCCCCCTGGCTACGAGGCTGTTAGTGGTCTGACATGGAGAGACTGGTATATTTCTTTCATTAAAAGACTAACCTTTTTCACAGTTTTCCATAAATATAATAAGTGTGTCTCCTTGGCTTAAAGTGTGCCAGAAACATTTGACAAAATCAGTGTCGTGTTATTACTCGTATTAATTTGTAATATCCATGGATAAATGTCTGGTCTGATTTAAAATATTATTTGGACCAGTGATTCTTAATTTAAACCAGTAGATTTTAGGAAACTGGTGGTCTGAATGGCCTGTAAGCCGAAAAGCATATGGCACAGACTGTTAAAGGAAAAAGCAAAAAAAAAAAAAAAATTATAAAAAAAAAATACAGACGTCTAGATTCAGTTGAAATGGTAATCTCCTCTGAATAACAAAAAGTGAACTTTTTGAGACCTCTTGTCTATTAACAAACAGACAAACCAGCGCCGTTGACAACATAATCTCCTTCAGTTCCTGAGTTAACAATAGGGTTTCCACTATAGTGAGAATGGCACTGATATATTGATCTCAGTTAGGAATGACAGGGCGATTGATATGCCTCGAAATAATTGAAACTTTGGAAGAATTGCTCCCTAACAATTGAAAAAGCATATCAGGTAACTATAAACAACTCTCATCTGGAAGTGATTGAAATTTTGAAGTACACTAAGATCACATTCACCTGCTTCTAAATATTAAAAAATATATGACCATTTGCAATCGAGGTACGTATCTCATTATGAAACCATTTTTAGATAGCATCCTTAGAGTTGATCCTGACACGATGGTAACTTAATAACACTTGGGTTAGCATGGCTTGGTTACATAAAGGGCATTCTGGCCTGACCTCATAGTTAAAAATTCTGTCACCTGTTTGGTAACAGGGGTGAAAACAGTTCACGTGTTCTGGAACTAGAGGATGATTAAGTGCGTTAGGAAAAAATCAATATCTTACACTGATACTACTCTATGCATTTATGTACAGGCCATTACATTATAAGCCTCATTTTTTTTTTTTTTTTTTTTGCTGTTTGGAAGGACATTTGACACCTCTAATGAAAATTTTTTTAAAAAGTAAAAAAGTTGAAGACCCATTTTTTATATGTTTATTCCTCTATATATGAGTTATATTTAGGCAAAAAATTAGGATTAAAAAGATAACAGTTAAGGAAAAATAGTAATTGTTAGTGAATGTCTAGGAAGGACATGAAATGGACATGGAATTTTAACTTTTAACTTTAACGCCAAAACTCTGCTCTTTCTGTGGAGATATATTTAAAAAATCAAAATATGAATATTTGATTATTTCACTCTCTAAATATATGTAAAGTGTTTAAAAAAAATTATAATTTGAAAATTTTGCATATATATTAAAATCAAGTAGGCATCTGGGAAGGATACATCTGGGTAGGACATTTTGTCCATTGCTTAATAAAATATAAAATGAGGCTAAATAATAATATTTCATGTATATTTACCAAGATGATAATAATAATAAAGATAATGAATAATCTCAAAGGTGAACATGCCTTTCCATGATCGTATATTTCATCTTCAAACATGTTACTCTTGTAATTAGTAGCTGTCAGGGGCAGGGCTTTTCATAGTCACCTAGCTAAATCACCTCGCTTTTCCCTAGGATTGGGGGCACAGGCCATCAAAATTTACCAATTGTAATTCCCTACAGAATTTCGGGGAGTCCAAGTATATCTAAAGCCATCATATTTCCCAAAATCCATAAGCCGTCCAGCCGTCTTTGAAAATATAGGCCGTCCGGTGATGCAAATAACAGCTGGACGATTCGCTGGGAAAACCCTTGGTCAAGGATGACAATTTTTAACACTGGGTATGGTTCAAAAAAAAAAAAAAATGAAATAGAATTTTATTTTTTTTCTCGTCATATATTTATTTATTTATTTAGTTAGTTAGTTAGTTAGTTATTTGTTATGCATAGCAGAAAAGCAAAATTTTCTGTCCCCAAGCATTATATGCACAGATGATGGGTGGAGTTTCATAGATTTTTGAATGTCCATTATTTAATGCTGTCAGAAAAAAAATATTTACTCAGTCACTCAAGTTACAGTCAAATTGACCAGACTAGCTCAAATCTGTTGAGTAGCTCAAGCATGAAAGATTTAGCATGCTTTATTTGCTATATTACAAAATTGGGGTACTTGCATTACAGCCCTGTGGCCTGAAATTCTGATATGAATAAAATTTCATTTCTCTTTTCAGGTGTGAAAGTTGATACTAGTAGGGTTTTACAGAAAACTAGCCTCATGATAATAATAATGCTCTGCCCTGACTTTAAGCCAAAATCTGTTGTGACAAATTATTTTGTGACCCATAAAGTAGCTTTGTACACATTAAATCTGATCTTATGTAATTTTTGCTCTGAGAGGGCATTTGGTTCATTTTTTTCAGCTCTACATATTTTCTTCCTGTTACATAACACCAAGCCCATTTTATTCCTGTTACATAACACCTAGTCAACTAACATTAACCTTTGGTCAAAAATTTGTGTCCAGTGCACCAAAAGATAAAATGGCAGAAGTCCACTTAAGTGAAATAAAAGGACCGTTTGGTGGCAAGGTTGCTGTTGCAGATCAATACTTTTATGTGAACTGCAGTGAAATTTAGCTTGAATTGAGGAATATCCAATTTTGGGGCTGCAACTTGATCCAAATTATGGCTGTTATTTGAATCTACCCCCAGGATCTCATTCACATACACCAAAAAAAAAAAAAAAGACTCGAACTTAAAAATCGGCCGACAAGACAAAAACTCTCTTGGTATGATAGCCTCATGGGCCAGTTGAAACGAAGATATTTCAGGGACAGACAGGTTTTTAGAAAATATAATGAGATGTTTATGAAATATTTTTTTCTGAGGCAATTGATCCATGATATTGGGTCAACTATTTAACTGTTCATTTGCCAAAAAAAACAGTTTTGACAACTACTAGTGTCATCCTGTTTTTTTTAACAAGGAATCAAATTTGTTTCTGACCCAATACTTAATAATTGCATTATAGAAGTGAACTGCCATGGATTAACTTGGCCTGAAGAGGATTTTTTTACATTGCAGATTTTTCCTAAATTGAAGAGAACTAAATTTTCAGTGTAAAAGAAAAGGCCTAACATTTGATTAATTGTTTTTTTTTTGTTTTTTTTTTTTTTGCGAAACCGACCCCCAAATTTACAAACCGTCAAATTGCTGGTATCATCAATTCAGCATGTTAACTATATACCTGTATTGAGTTGCAACAATGTAATGAAAGGTATTGTTAATCTTATCAACTTGGAGGTGTAATATAACTACAGGTTGGGCTAGGAAGAGGGAGAAACAGGACTCGGTTCGTTTGGTTACCTGATAAATGCTTAAATTGTGTACAATGAATAATGAAGAAAACATAAGGAGACTACTGAAGAGGAAGATTGTTGTTATAGGCCAGTGAAACTGGCAGAGAACAATTAAACTGGTGGTGCAACAAATAGAAAAGACAGGTGCTAAGGTTTAACTAACTGAAAAATTGCTTATTTACGTAGCTATAATAGGCTGGCTATATAAAAAAAGAAAGGCCTCTGGTGATGTCATTTTCTTAACAAGATGGAAGTTAAATAAATGTAAATGGTCAGGGGCGGATTAAGGCCGTCTTCTGGGTCTTCCGGAAGACGGTCAGATTTTTAAGTTTACATTGAGGGGTATCTAATTTTTTCTGTCGGAAGACGGTCAAAAATGGTGGATGGATCAACAAAGATAATTTGGAAGACTGTCAGAAAATATCTCTGGATCCGCCCCTAATGGTATATATAATATGCCAAAACAATGCAAAAAG